CCTCAATGGCTCCCCGGCTTTAGCTTCGCACAGATCAGCCCACTTCTTTGGTCTTTTTCTCGTTTCTGGCAGAGTTTCATCGAGATAGAGGTATTGAACGAAGAGGAATACTCTATTCTACGCATCCTGTATTGCTACAGCCTCCAACAACATATCTTCCTCGCATTCTGCAACGATTTTGACACACACTATCGCATGTTCGCATACATTCTTCTCAGGGACAAAATATTGTTATTCCCGAAGTGACGTCAAAGGCCAATTCGTCCCATTCTCCGCTGTTCCTCGGTCGTGAACATGGAAAAGGGCAAATTTGCAACCTTTAAACATTCATAGAAAATTAACGAAAATAGCTACAAAGATAATTTTTTCGCAGTGGTGATCAGGAGAAAGAGGAAATTTATATCAGCGAAAAAAAATTTGGGGGGTTAGTTACTTAACAATTCCATCATTAGCCTGGGAAACTAACAGTGGACCTGGATGAGCACCAAAAGTTCTTCAATTTCTTTTTTTTCTCCAAGCTCCAACCAAAGAATAATCTTACGCTAGTATGTTTCATTTTCAATCTGACTCATATCCCAGCGAGTTTTGTGTACCTTGGTAATGTAACTTGATCCCAGCTGAGACATGTAGACATATGGAGGGGATCCGAGAGCAGACTTTCATACTGATGGAAAGACGAGATAAGGACAAGAAAATTATAAAGATTCATTCGAAAAATAAATTATTAATTATTTCAGCACTGAATCGCGTAATCATGGAATACTGAAAGCGAAAGGTCACTGTAAAAGCGCGAAAACGATAGCACACTACCAACTAAAGACGGAAACGAAAGCGGAAGCTAAGCATCATACCATTGTTTGGAACAATCGCATAAAAATATCTTTTTTGGCAAAAATATTCACTATGAAGCCTACATCTTAAGACGAGATAAAGTTAAACTTCAAATGTTGAATCATGATCTAGTAATCAGACACCACCTAGAAGGGTTATTGCTGGGTACGCTTGCGTTTTTTGACGGCTGAATAACACGCACCTTTACAGGAGTAACGATGGCTGCTGGAGTCGACTAATCACATGTTGAAGATGTTTAGCTTTCACAGTCCTTTTGAGCAAAATATCATGAAACGCCGCTCCCTTCAGCAAACCAAACACGAGTGATGTCATTTTCGATAAATCTTTAATGTCCCGGAAATAACGAGTAGGACTGGTACTGAATTTGCATTCATTGTCCCGTCTCAACTTCCGTAAATAAACCGGAAGTGAGGTAATAGTTTAATATAAAAAAAGTGTATTGAAAAGCCCAAGAAATATTTCCCTTTTTTGCAAACGTGATACTTCCATCCCTTCGTAAAGCAGGAACTGAAAATAGGAAACGCCAGCACGTAATCTTCTGAGCTCTTTTTAGAACATAGACTAGGAAACTCCCAAGCAAGGTCGTGAAGAGTACGAAAACCCATTAGGAACATTCACTCGCTGCTCAAACCTACCAATTCGTACTACCTCCCCATCCCCCCTTTAAACCTGACTACCCACCCAAGTCTGAGAGTTTTGTCGTTGCTCTCAAGAGGTATCGCTCGAAACGTCAACACTCAAGATTCATCTTCAATCAAATTAAACGCCTTCAGTTATCTTTTTTAAATTTGAAGTGGTCTCGTTAAATAACAGATATCTCTCTTGACCCGCGAAGAAAATTTGTGAATTCCTTTTCTCTTATCTTTCATTTATTGGAATCGTTAGAAGATCTTTGACCTAAAGCGCTCATCATCAGAGCCCATCAAAGCTACCGATTGGCCCCTTATTGCAGCCTTGCCGACGACTGTCGTTTCACTGTGTTGATTAGGGGCCGCCGTTTCCTAACTAATGATGCCAAGAAAAGATCGCAGCGGTGGTCTTTCTACTGAGATCACGTTTCCACCGTTTGTCCTCCACCGACTACAGATAGCGGAGATGTTTTATCAACATCAACATTCAGGAGAAGTTGATTTATATTCCCTGTCATGACTGCATCTTTGTGAGTTAAGCCGGAGGTGTTTGGAAAGGGATCAGCACCTCTGC